AGAAAGAAAGAAAGAAAGAAAGAAAGAAAGAAAGAAAGAAAGAAAGAAAGAAAGAAAGAAAGAAAGAAAGAAAGAAAGAAAGAAAGAAAGAAAGAAAGAGGAAGGAAGAAAGAAAGGAAGGAAGGAAAGAAAGAAAAGGGAGAAAGAAAGGGAGAGAGAAAGAAAGAAAAAGAAAGAAAGAAAGAAAGAAAGAGGAAGGAAGGAAGGAAGGAAGGAAAGAAAGAAAGAAAGAAAGAAAGAAAGAAAGAAAGAAAGAAAGAAAGTCAAAGTTTGGGGATCAATTCATTTTTACTAGCCTTTACTACTACTAGTAGTAATTGAGAAATTCTCAATTTCTCCGCTTCCCCAAACCCCGACCCCACGGTCCCCTCTAGCTAAGCAACGGAAGAATTACACGAACAAAGCAGATCACTTGTTACACCCAGTTCTTTCACGTATTATGTATTTTTTTTGACAAAACTGTCACTGGGTTTCCAGTGTTCTTCATAAAATTATAACTTTGTTTGTTTTTTTAAAGGAAGGTTGTAACACATTGTTTTTAAAAAAATTCCAGCTTCCCCTTGCCCTTGGCACAGGGTCAACAAGAACATACAAGTGGTAGGAATTCCCTCCCAAACTTGAAAAGCTGATTTACCTCTGCTAAATTAATAAGAAGGGGATCAAACTGAAGTGTTGCAGGGTGACAGTCCCATTGCAGTTTGTGCCTTACGGAGCCGTGGACTAACCTGGGAAAAAAACATTGGAGACATAAATAACGGGGCTTGTCCAGGCAGTTGCCAAGGGTCAACACTGACAGGGAAGGAAGGAAGGAAGGAAAAAAAGGAAGGAAGGAAGGAAGGAAGGAAGGAAGGAAGGAGGGAGGGAGGGAGGGAGGGAGGGAGGGAGGGAGCGCTTTTAAAACTAAAAGCGCTTTTAAAAAATGTTTTATTTCTGGAAAGATGTTTAAGCAATATACATTCCCAGAAACAAGTAACATTATCTTCTCTTAGTCGTATTATTTTTGGATTATTGCTCTTTTAATCTACATGTAGTACAATTCAAGGCCCATCTTATTCCCCCATAAGTCTATGGGAGAGGGCATTCCCAGAAAGTGAAAAACACTTTAAAATGCTAACATGCGAGTGAAGCAGTCCTGATTTGATTCAACATTTAGTACTTCCGTAAATTTAATTTGCTCACCCAGGTTCCCAGGTATTACCTGCAAGGGATGCCCCCTTTGGAATAAATGGCGGCAAAGGTGGAGGACACCCTTGACTCAATATTGAACTGGAACAAAAAGAAATATAAATATAAATACAATATAAATACAATAAACTGAAACTGAAAGTGAAATAACACGGGTCAGCATATTATTATTATTCTGTATCACAGATATACCCCAGCAAGACACGGCTTTAATCCAAGTCCGACTGAAGTTAAACCCTCCCAATGGGACCTGGAGGTGCTTTTGTGGTACTGCTCTCTCTAGGTCATATTTTGAGGATGTATTATTATAAAAACATAAATTCAGAACGAAGATTTCAATCAGAAAAGAGTGCACAGGCCAAACACTTTCAGCTGACAAAAGATTGTGTGACTTTTCTTCTCGACTTGAAGAACACGAAGAGGCAAAAGCTAACCAGTTGGAGTTTACATTAATAACATAACACAAAAAGGGAAAGGAGCGATTCAAACCATAATTAACTTTTTGCTAACACTGCTTAAGCAGTGTTTCTCAACCTTGACAATTTTAAGGCATGTGGACTTCAACTCCCAGAATTCCACAGCCAGCGTTGCTGGCTGTGGAATTCTGGGAGTTGAAGTCCACATGCCTTAAAATGGTCCAGGTTGTGAAACACTGGCTTAGAGCGAGGAACAGCACACCCATCCCGGGGCTCTCTGCCTTTTGGGCAGTTTCTAACCTTACTAGAGAAAGCAGAACCCAGATCCAGGAATCCTCCTTTTCAACAAGGGACGGTGATTATCCATAAATTCAGCAAGTTCCTCCACTTTTCTCCCAGAAGGCAGGACTAAAAGATTTAAAAGAATCCTCAAATGGAAAGAGCATGTTCGCCCTTCCCGTTACGACATCGAAATGTGATAAGAAGGTTGGAAAGAAATTCAAGAGGGGGAAAAAAAGAAGCCTAGAAAAGCAAAATATACAGGAGTGAAATTTACTGCTTTTCTATAGGGAAGAAGGCTGTGCTTTCGAGATACGCCGTCCATCCTCCATAGAAAAGGACTCTTTAATAAGCCAGTTGTTCCACTGTCCCAATCAAGGA